TCCTGTCCTCCAAGCCTCCGCCTGCCTCACTTCTGCCCTGCCCAAGTGTAGGTATTCATTCAGCCAATCAGGGATAATTTGGAGCCCAGGTTACACAGCTTCACTTTGGTATACTGGAGAGTCAGCTCATAGCAGACAGCAGACCTCAGGGAGCAAAATAATTAACAGTCATATGTAAAGCACCAGACCGCAACATAACATTGATACAGGCTCTTCTGTTCTTACAGAGGCAGAATAGTTTAAATACAGAAAAGAATGATTTTTTTTATTTCCCTATCATCATTCTTCAGCATTTGAGGATCAAATTATTACATCCTGGGATTATACGGTGTTAGAATGTTTGATTTGAAATTTGCTGTTTGGGTTGCAGGCTTGAGTTTTATAAGTTTTGGCTTGTGATTAGGACAGAATTTCCAACAATATCTGAAATGGACCTAAATGTGCCTCCTGCCAGTTTGTAGTAGTTACTTATGCAAAGTGGTATTCTCAGCATTGATAATTATAAAATCTACATCAACCCTGAAAAGGCTTTGAAGATGTTCTACGTCTTATGATAACACTCAGCCCAGATCTAATTCTTTCTTATTAATTTATTTATATGTGTAGTTCATGCATGCCTGTGTGTGTATATGGGTGGAGGCCAGAGTTTGAAGCTGGAAGTCTTCCTTGATTTCTCTCTGACTTACTTTTGAGGCAGCGCCTCTCATCGAACCCAATCTGTCCACCTCTGCTCCTAGGTTGCTGGGATACAGGTATGCACGACCACGCCCTACATGACCACGCCCTGCATTTTTTAAGTGGCTGATAGGGATCCAAACTCAGGTCTTTATGCTTGCACAGCAGGTACTTTACTCACTGAGCCATCTTCCTAGCACTGAGATTTAAGTATTTTTGTAAAAATACACTGGCTGTGCAGGACGTGGTGGTAACGTCTTTAATCCCAGTGTTTCTTGGGAGGTAGGTCTCTGTGGTTTCTAGGCCAGCCAGGGCTACACAGTGAGATGGAATCTCGAAAACAAATACAAGCACAGCTATATCATTAGTATGAAAATATTTCATCTTTATAAAATTGATTTTTAAAACAACAAGTCTCAGTGTGGGTGGTCCAGACTTGCCTTAAATTTACTGTGTAATTCAGTCATCTTGATGTCCTGATTTTCCTGCCTTGGCCTAACTGCAGATGAATTTTAGAAGGATGGGTAAGAGGACTTCAGATGTAATAGATTAACGATGAGGAAAAAAACAATTGAGTGAGACTCTGGGTATGGGTCAGTTGGTAGGGTGTTTGGTCTGCATGTGTAACACCCTGAGGTGGTTTGTTACTATGCAGAAAAACAGCTTTTAACTTAAATCAGGTACAAACTCTTTAGAATTTCCTGTAGTGTTAAAACTTGGTGACTCTTTTTGGGTGTGTGTGTGTGTGTTCCTTTTTTTGTTTTGTTTTATTGTTGTTTTTTTGAGACAGGGTTTCTCTGTGTAGCCCTGGCTATCCTGGACTCACTTTGTAGACCAGGCTGGCCTCTGCCTCCCAATGTGCTGGGATTAAACGTGCATCACCACCTCGACGTTTTTTTAAGAAGCACTTAACTTGATGTCGCAAAGGGGTTTTTTTTGTTTGTTTGTTTTTGGGTTTTTTTTTTTTTTTTTTTTTTTTGGTTTTTTGTTTTGTTTTTGTAAAAATCGTAAGCCAGGTGGTTGTGCATGCTGTGCAGCATTTGGGAAGGAGAGGTAGATAGTGCTCTGTGCTTTTAAAGGCAGCATGGTCTACAGAGTGAGTTCTAGGACGGCCAGAGCTAGACACCTTGTTTTGACTCCCCTTCTTCTCCTCCCAATTTAAAAATGTGTCTTTTCCATTTAAGTCTTTAATTAAATGTGGAAGTGATGTAAATTAGTGATCCATTTTGTTAATTTGCATATGCAAGTATGAAAACTTGTCCCAGAAACATTTATTGAGTAGTCGTCATTTCTGTGTAGAGCTGCTCGGTTAGTGCTAGTATACATCAAATTACATATGTGGTGGCTTTATCTGTCTTCTGTTGCTACAACAAAATATCTGAGGCTGGGTACCTTAGAAGTTTATTTAACTCCTATGTCTGGAGGCTGGAAGTCCAAGACCCGGCAGCTGAATTTGTGTGACTTCTTGGGAAGTTTCCCTTGGCTGTGTCACATGCTTGATGGCATCGTGGTGGGAACGATAGCAGTGCTGTTCCAGCGATGTAAATAATGACATAGATTTACTAATATTTTAAACCTTAGGCATTTTAGCTGGGCAGACTCTCAGCTAGCCTAACCCGACTTATCCTGGCATTATGTCCCAGGACACACCAGGGCTTTTACTCTCTGTTTCTATTCACAACTGTTCACTCACTCGCTCTCCCCACTACCACATCCCTTGGTGATTCTCCTGCCTCTAAGGAGTCCTTTTCTCTGCCCAACATTTCTGCCTTCCCCTTCTTGCCCAGCTCAGCTCTTTATTAAAGCCAATCAAACACAATTCTAGATTGCCTTAGGCACGTGAGGAAAGAACAACTATTTTTAAACTATGAGAGCAATGGTGGGCCTTAGCTCTCTGCCAGCACAGAATTAATGACTGAATACGCAGAGACACACCTTCACACAGTGCTCCCCAACAGGGAGCAGGCTTGAAAATGTTGACAGGAAGCCAGAAAGACTCAGGAACCATCCTTGTACTTTTCCTAAGAACGGCGAACCTTGCTCTTCTTCCAGGAACCAGGAACTCACAGAGTTCTGGTGAAAACTATACATATTCCACAAACATTGCCTCCTGCGGTCTATACTCACCTTCCATTAGACCCTGTTCTTAGAGGCTCTGCCACCTTTCAACACCTCACACTAGGGACCAATCTTCCTGTGTGTGAGCCTTTGGGGGACGGACCTGAACCATATGTAAGCCATGGCACGTGGTTGGGTATGTTTCTAGTCTCTGTTCTGTTCCATTCTAGTTTTCTCTCTCTGAGCAATAGCTCACTAATTATTACAGTTAGTTTTGTAACAAAGCTTGACAGCTGGTGGAGAAAGCCTTATAACTCAGAAATGGTTTTTTGTTGTTATTGTTCTTTGTTTTTGCTATTTGTACTTTTCATTTTAAAACCATTTAAGTTCCACAGAAAACCTCACTAGAATTTTAAAAACAGATGTTTTTAATTTTATTTTATGTGTGTGAGAGAGACCAAAACAATTAAGAATTAGGTTTTTGGGTTGCTGGATTAACATTAAACACCAGCCTGAATGAAGACCAGGCATGTTAAGACATGTCCAGCTGGGCCTGCTGCAGTAGGGAGCCAGCCTTGCTGCATTCTTTTCTGCCCACTAGAGATACTGTTGCCAGGAAACTGGCCCAGATGGCCCCCATATTGTTACAAGTCAGTAGCCTTGTTTCTGGAGATATCACTGAATGTGCTAATTATCTCTCTCCCGTAGCAACAACCAATCAGGACAGGACATTGGACCGAAACCCAAGACCAGATGTTGTCCCCTACACACCAAGAGAGAACAAAGAAAGCCAGAACCATTTATGGTTTTGGCACCTTCCCACAGCCAATCATTTTAAAATTCAGTTCCCCTTTTGTGTTTAACCAATAGAAGCTTGCCAGGGTGGAATTCTCCTGCTTTGGGCATGGTGGGGGTGGGGGCAGAAATGGAACCGATAAATCACCCTCAATCCTGACCTCAGGGCTCTCAGTTGATACCAGTGCCTTGGTGTCTGTGAGAGTCCCAACTTGAGCTGCGAATAAAGATCCTTGTGTGTTTTGTAACGGACTCAACGTCTGGTGGTCTTTTGGGGGTCTCGCAAATTGGGCATAACATCTTGGTGTGATAGCCAGGAACCCCAAGTCCCTCAGGACCACCCTTGCAAACCTCTCCCCCTGCCCAAGCTGGAGGATCAGAACTCTGGATAAGCACTTTTGTCTTGGCCAACTTCTGTGTCTTTGTTCTGTCATTCTGTGTATTTTTGAGATCTCAAGGCAGTAGACAGTGAGTGGCCACGGAGCAGTCCCAAGTCTGTTTGATAGGCCTGGAAAAAAGTGGGTTGCTTCCACAGAGACAGGAAGTGCTGCTGATGTATTGTTTTGGGGTTCTTACCCGCTTGCTTGGCAGAATCTGTTGTTTGGCTTTGTGTGTGTGTCTGGCTGGCTGGCTGTGGTGACTGTTCTCATTTCTTTGGACAGGAAAAGGACGACATATAAAATGGGACAGATTCCTTCTACTCCCCTGGACCTGATCCTGGCCCACTTCAGAGACTAGGGGCCAGGGGATGGAATCTTTCTCTTTCTCTTAGACAAATTCGCCATCTTTTACAGCTCTGAATGGTTTACCTTCAACATCGGATGGCCACAGGAAGGGTCTTTTGACTTAAAAATTATCCTAGTAGTCAAATTAGTGATCCTTAGACCTGACACAGGTCACCCAGACCACTTTCCCTAAATCATGGTCTGGGAGAACATGGTGTTTGACCCAACCCCCTTGTGGCTCAAGTCTTCCAAACCTTTCCTCCATGCTAACCCAATTTATCTAGGCCTGGAAGCTAATGCATTGCTAACTTTGGCAGAGAGGCAACCTGAGTAGGACAGCTCAGAAGAGCAAACCCACAGGGAAGACCAACTGCCATGTCTATCTGCCACTGTACCTCCCCGTTCCCTATTATTACTTCCTTACCCTAGCCCCTCACAGGCTCCGCCGCCTGGAAACAACAGACACTGAGGCTGATGAAGCTGCAGCTGCAGCAGAAGTCATTCCTGAGGCAAGCCCCTGCAGCTCAGGTCCAAGCAGAAGGACCAGTGGCCACACCCGAGGTAGATTCCACAATGGCCCTGCCTTTCCAAGCAGTGGGACTGATTGAAGACCGAGGCAATCAGCCTCACCACTATTGGCCTTTCGCTCCTAGTGATCTTTACTACTGGAAGGAAAAGCATGCTAAGTTCTCAGAAGAGCCAAATGATCTCATAGAATTGCCTGATACTGTTCTTTTTACCCATCAGCCCTCTTGGGATGATTGTCGGCATCTATTGGTGAACTATCCTGTTCACCAAGGAAGAAAAGGAACGTATCCAGGTGGAAGCTAAGAAATTAGTTCCTGACACAAATGGGGAGCCAACCACCAACCAGGCTCATATAGATACCAGCTTTCCCTTGCAGAGACCTACCTGGGACTACAGCCCAGGAGCAGGTAAGGAGAGGCTCCTAAGTCTACAGCCGGGCTCTGTTGGCAGGTCTTAAAGCAGCAGCTAAATGGCCCACTAATTTGATTAAGGTTTATGATGTTAAGCAAGGACCAGACAAAAGCCCTACAGCTTTCCTAGAAAGAATCATGGAAGCTTTCCAGAGGAACACACCATATGATCCAGAGGCAGCCGAACATAAGGCCACAGTAGAAATGTCCTTTGTGGCCCAGGAGAAAGCTCCAAGGTCTAGAAAATTTGCAGGAAAAGAATCTCAGCTTAGTTAACCGAGGCAGCTAAGGTGTATAACAATAGAGTCCAGAGGAAAGGCAAATCAGGGTCAATCTACAAAGTAACAAAGATATGGCAAGCTCGATGCTAGCAGCCACTGAGCCTATAGGTCTCAGCAGGCTCAGGACACTGAAGGTAAGAGACGGAACAAGGGCCAGTCAAAGTTGGGACGTAATCAATGTGCTCACAGTAAGGAAGAAGGGCATTGGGCAAAGGAATGTCCCAAGAAAAGGGGAGCTAAAAAGACAGTCCCCCTGGGGGCAGGTGATAGCGAGGACTGATGGGGATGGGGTTAGGATGCCCTAACCAAACCTGGGGTAACCCTAAGAGTGGAGGGGAAGCCAGTGGATTTCCTGGTGGATACTGGAACCCAACATTCAGTTTGGCTGCAGCTGAAGGGTCCCCTGTCCAATAAAAAATTTGGGTACAAGGAACCATGGAATGAAACAATGTCCGTGGACTATCCGAAGAACAGTGGACTTAGGAAAGAATGGGCTGAGTAACCCATTCATTCATAGTGGTACCAGATTGCCCCCTCCCCTGCTGGGGAAAGATCTCCTAACTAAGCAAGGAGCCCAAATACATTTCTCGTCAGATGGCATGAAAGTTCTTGACCACCAGGGGCCGGTGCATGTCCTCACGACCACACTGGCTAACAAACGTAGACTTTTTGATACAATGTTAAAATGTTAAAACCGGCTGCAGCCATAGAGATCTGGCTAGAAAACTTCCCCCAAGCACGGGCAGACAGGAGGTATGGGATTGGCTAAACATAGACCACCTGCTTTCGTTGAATTAAAGCCTGGCGCAGATCCCGCCAAGGTCCAGCAGTACCTGGTGCCTCCAGAAGCCAAGAAGGGCATCACCCCTCACATCCATTGGCTACTAAAGTTAGGGGTTCTCAGGCAATGTCAATCAGCCTGGAACACGCCCTTGCTACCGGTTAAGAAGCCTAATTCTGTTGACTATTGGCCAGTTCAGGACCTCAGAAAGGTCAATAAATGGGTAATGGACATTCATCCAACTGTGCCTAACCCATATACCCTTCTGTGTGCATTGCCCCCAGAGCACCCATGGTACACAGTTCTAGATTTAAACGATGCCTCTCTCAGTCTGCCTCTCACCCCAAAAAGCCAGGAATATTTTGCATTTGAATAGCACGACCCAGACATTGGAATAAATGGACAGTTGACTTGGACCAGAGTCCCTCAAGGATTCAAAAACTCTTCAAGATCTTTACATGAGGACTTGGGTGAGTACCGAGAACAACACCCCTAAGTTACTCAGTTGCAGTATGTGGATGATCTGCTGATAGCAGCTGCTGACAAGGAGACTTGCCTACAAGGAACAAAGGACTTAATCAACACTCTCGGGGAACTTGGCTTTCGAGCCTCAGCTAAGAAAGCTCAAAAATGCATGTCAGAAGCACAATACCTAGGCTATATCCTAAAAGAAGGTAAAAGATGGTTGTCAGATGCCCACAAGAAAATAGTCCTGAAGATCCGACCCCCACAAGTTGGAAGCAGGTATGGGAATTCCTGGGGTCGCCTGGATACTGTATGCTCTGGATACCAAATTTCGCAGAGCTTGCTATGCCGCTTTATGATGCCACCAAAGAATAGCCATGTGACTTCTCATGGACAGCTGAGCCTCAGCAGGCCTTTAAGGCCATAAAAGAAGCATTGCTGTCGGCTCCAGCCCTTGGGTTGCCTGACGTTACCAAACCGTTCCAGCTGTTTGTACATGAAGAAAAAAAAAAGGAATAGGAAAGGGGGTTCTCACTCAGACGCTCAGACCATGGAGGAGACCAGTAGCCTACTTAGGCAAAAAGCTAGACTCAGTGGCAGCCAGATGGCCCCCATGCCCTCCGCATCATTGCTGCAGCAGCATTACTGGTCAAGGAAGCTAACAGATTGACTCTAGGGAAGGACTTGGTTGTAATTACCCCTCATGCCATTGAGGGAGTGCTGAAACAGCCCCCAGACTGGTGGCTGAGCAGCACTCATCTGACCCATTACCAGGCACTGCTACTGAATCCTTCTAGAGTCACCTTTTAGGTGCTGACTTCCTTGAATCCTGCCACTCTACTGCCAGACCCAGCCCTGGATACCCCTCTGCATGACTGCACTGGGATCTTAGCCCATGTGCACATAATCTGGCCAGTCTCCAGGATGTCCTCCTGACCAACACAGACGAGACTTGGTTCACGGATGGGAGCAGTTTCATCAGGGACAGAAAAAGGTATGCGGGGGCGGCAGTGGTGTCATTGACTGAGACTATGTGGGCAGAGCCCCTCCCTCCTGGCACTTTGCCTCAGAGAACCAAGCTGATAGCATTGGCAGAGGCATTAACTCTGGGAAGAGATTTAAACCTTAACGTGTGTACTGAAAGCTGGTATGCATGGCACCATCCACCGCGAACGAGGCCTATTGACAGCTGAAGGGAAAACTATTAAAAACAAAGAAGAGATATTGGCATTATTAAAAGCCCTCTGGCTCCCCCAAAGATTGGCAATCATTCACTGTCCAGGACATCAGAGGGGAGAAACTCCAGTCTCCAGAGTTAACAACCAAGCCAACCAAATGGCAAAAGCAGTTGCATTAGAGACGGAGCCCATTCTTGCTCTGGTCAATCCTAGGAGACCCGGTCCTCCCTAAGGAACCAGTCTTTCTCCAGAGGACATTAAATGGACCAGAGGATTGCCCATGTCTCAGTACTTAGATGGATGGTAGAGATCAACCGAAGGAAACCTGATATTCCCTGAAAAGCTGGGAGAGAAGATATTAAGAAAAATCCATCACTCCTCCTATATGGGTATCTGGAGGATGCAAGATTTGATTCGACAATCAGGAGTTATTATTAAAAATGCTAATTCTAAGATTGAGAACATTATTTCCAACTGCAAGGCACGCAAATTGACAAAAGCTGTGCCTAATGGTAAAAATGCAGGTCCCTGAGTGAGAGGTTAGAGACCAGAAGCCTACTGGGAAGTAGACTGCACAGAAGTGAAGCCTGGGAAATATGGTTACAAGTATTTGCTAGTTTCTGTAGATAACTCAGGATGGACTGAAACCTTCCTGACAGAGCACCAAATGACACGAATTGTAGCCAAGAAGTTACTAGAAGACATCCTTCCAAGGTATGGTTTTCCTCAGAAGATAGGGTCAGATAATGGACCAGAGTTTTGTGTCCAAGGTAAGTCAGTTTGGCCACGGTAATGGGGATTGATTGGAAGTTACACTGTGCTTATAGATCCCAGAATTCAGGACAGGTAGAAGGGATATATAGGACTCTCTCTAAAAGTGACCTTAGCTAAATTGACCTTAGAGACTGGCGGGGACTGGGTGGCTCTCCTTCCATTTGAGGTCTATTGGGTATGCAATTTTTATCAGATGGGACTCACTCCTTTTGAGATTATGTTTGGAGTCCCTACCCCTATTATCCCCAACCTACAAGCTGAGGTCATTGCTGAATTTGAAGATCGAGACTTCCTGAACGACCTCAAGGGAATACAATGGGCCCATAAACATGTTTGGCCTAAATTAAGAGCTCTTTATAAATCAGGTCCTCCACCGGAGCCTCATCGCTATAGACCAGGAGATTGGGTCTACGTCAAGAGACACCGCCAGGGGTCACTGGAACCACACTGAAGGGGCCTTACGTACATGGTGCTGCTGACAACAACCGACTGACTTGAAGATTGGCAGCATTGCCACCTGGATCCACTACACCCACGCCAGACCAGCTGGCCCTTTTGAGACCAAGAAGAACTCTACCAACTGTTGGGCGACATGGAAGGCATCAAAGGATCCCAAGCACCCACTCAAGCTCAGACTCACCTGGTCCTGAGACTGCTCATTGTATGTACTCTGCTTTCCTTAATAACCGCTTCTGCTCCTGCACACCCACACCAGCCCCTCAACCTCACCTGGAAAATAATAGCTACAGCCACTGGGGAAGTCGTTAACGCAACCTCCAGACTAGCCACCAGAAATACCTGGTGGCCACAACTGGAGTTTGATCTTTGTGACCTGGCGCATGCATCAGGCACCTGGGACCATGACAACCCTGAAGAAGGATATGGCTGTAAATACCCTGGGTACCGGGCTAGCCTCCGGAACCGTCATTTCTATGTCTGTCCTGGCCACGATAAGACCGAATCATGGATAGATAAGTGTGGGGGACCCGAACAATACTTCTGTGCCAGCTGGGGATGCGAGAGCACAGGACACATTTGGTGGGAGGCCAATCGGAAGGACCTAATCACAGTGCACAGGGGAGGCAACTATGGGCCTTACGCCAGTAATAACGTCAGCTATGCCGCTCGTTTCCCGGGGTCAGGAACAGTCTGGATAAAGGGAAAAAACAAGGGAACAGGTGGCCCCTGTCATACGCCTCCAGCTATCGGAGGAACACCTGGAGGCAGATGCAATCAAGTATCCATCACCTTTACTGAATCTGGGAAACAAGCCACGTGGGAATCAGGGAAAACATGGGGGTTAAGGATACACAGACCCGGTCCCACCTATGATCCAGGGTTACTTTTTACCATCCAACTTACCGTAAATAACATCCAAGGACCAAATCAACAGGCAGTAGGCCCCAATCCAGTTTTGAGGGTTAAAACCCAACGCCCTGGACCCCCTCATACCCCTACCACAAGCCCCAGGGTCTCCACCAGTTCAACAAGTTTGACAACTCCAGATCTATGACGGGCAAGACTACGGGCACCCACAATGCCAACAGACCCTTACTTTGACAATGAGCTCATCTGGACCCTTATGCAGCAAACCTATCAGAGGGGAGAATAAGAGACCAAAAGAATTAAGGATTAGGTTTTTGGGTTACTGGATTAAAGTTAAAAGCAGAAGCCTGAAGAAAGACCAGGCATGTTGAGACATTTCTGGCCAGCTGCAGGTAGGAACCAACCTTGCTACATTCCTTACTACCCACTAGAGAGACTGTTGCCAGGAAAGTGGCCCAGATGGCCCCCATTTCATTACAAAAGTCAGTAGCCTTGTTCCTGGAAATACCACTGAATATGCTAATTACCCCTCTCCCTAGGAACAGCCAGTCAGTACAGGACAGGACATTGGACAGAAACCCAAGACCAGATGTTCCCCCACACACACACTAAGAGAGAACAGAGAAAGCCAGAATTGTTTATGGTTTTGGCACCTTCCCACAGCCAATCATTTTGAAATGCAACATCCCCTTTTATGTTTCAACCAATAGAATTCCCCTGCTTTGGGCACGATGGGAGGGGGGGAGCGGGAAATGGAACTGATAAATCACCCTCAATCCTGAGAGCTCGGGGTTCTCAGTTGTATACTGGTGCCTTGGTGTCTGTGAGAGTCCCAGCTCAAGTTGTGAATAAAGATCCTTGTGTGTTTTGGAACAGACTCGACTCCTGATAGTCTTTTGGAGGTTCTCGAAAATCTGGGCACAACATATGAGTGTTTTGTCTGCATGTATGTGTGCATGCCTGGTGCCCACTGAGGTAAGATGAGAGCATTAGATTCCCTAGGACTGGAGTTATAGAACATTGTTAGCTGCCACATGAGCTCTAGAAACTGAATCCAGGTCCTCTGCAAGAGCAGCAAGTACTCTTAATTGCTGAGCCATCTCTGTAGCTTCCTCATTGGGATTTTGATTGGAATGACTTTATATCAAATTGAAGAGTATGGATAACCTACCTGTTTCAAATTATTCTACAAACAAGTCTTACTTCTTTAGATCTTTAGTTTCTTTGTAGTTTAATAAGTTTTCCTTCAGGGACTTAAATATTTTGCATCTTCTTAAGAATGTCACATTTTAAAGAATATTATAAATTGTGTTTGTGTTTTTGTGTGTACATATGTTTGTTTTGCTTTCTTGAAACAGGAACTCCTTTATGAAGCTCTTGGACTTCAAACTTAATCTTCCAGCCAAAGCCTCCCCATGTTGGGATTATAGGCATGTTCTACCATGCCTGCCTAAAAATTACAGGTTTTAATTTGATTAAGATTTTGTTTTATTACATAATATATTTACTGGGGCAGAGGAATGTGCTTGCCATGATGCATGTGTGGAGGCAACGGACAAGTTTCCAAGATTTGTTCTCTCTTTCCATTATGTGGTTCCTAGGGATCAAACTCTAATCATCAGGCTTGGTGACAAAAATGCCTTTGCCTGCTATGCCATCTTGCTGGCCCAATTGGATTTTTTAATATTATACTTTTTTGCAAGTAAATAAACATGCTTATGTCTTCTGTAGGTCAAGCAATCTTCCCAGACTTCTGCTTTAATTGCAATAATCACCTGTGAGCATCAGGCAGTTTGTTGTTTTGGTTTTGTTTTGTTTTGTTTTTTCCTTCAATGTTGCTAATCCCTCAGGAAATTGTGACAGTTTTGTTACTTCTCTGCCCTTAATCTTTCATTTTTATTTCCCCTTTTTACTGTGTTGTCCAGATTTGCAGTTAAGTTTCTACTCTGGTAACAATACTGATAACAGTAGTAATTCACTCTAGTATTTATAGAGAGAGTAGTTACTACTGGGGATAACATGGTTACCAGCAAGGGGTCTTGATAAAGTTAATTTTCTCTGCCAGTTAAAGTTAAAAGGCAGGAAAAATCTCAAGTGCAAGAGGTAGCAGAGAAATCTCTAACTCACAGACAGGGTCTGTTAGGATTGGCAGATGAGGGAAGGCTTGTACTGGGGTGAGTACACTCATGTGGACACAGGAAAAGGCCCTCTGCCTTGCAGGACAACTCAGAACTGAGCCATGTAGTCTCTTCTCCAGGGTTTTAAAGTCTCTGAAGGGCCTTTCTCCCCTAATTTAGGGTTGGTCATTTTGATTGGCTCACAAGCATGGTGTAAACGTGCCTTGACCTGTCCAGCTCTCCCTATCTGTCAGCTTACTGGGGAAACTGCACCTCCCAGTCCTACAGCCACCCCGCCGCAGGTTACCAACGGCTCCTCTCTATCAGTCAGTAAACTTCTCTCTTGTTCCATATTGGCGAAAAGTTCTGTTTATTTGGTCAACTAGACATTGAATTTTATCAGTGCTTTCTATGTACTTGCTGCTGTGGTCTATGATCCCCCCCCCCCCCAGTTTGATACTGTGGTAAAGTTGACTAAATGAGTTCATTTGGATAAATGTGGTGACATACTTTGTTTTTTGTGCATTGTAGGCTTTGGGTTCCTGCTGGCTCCAGTGCTCAGTCAGGTCTGAAATTTTGGTTTCTGAGAATTTCTTTCTGGCTTGCTGGCTCAGTGACAAATGTTGTTAGCATAATATATATCTTGGGCTGGTTCACCCAGCATTTGGGGCTGTTACATAGCAGAAAGGCTTCTGAGGTATCAAGTTTACCAAATTTCCAGAACTAGATTCCATTTCCTCATCCTTTTTTCAAACTATTAAAGCTTTAGTCGAGAACAGATTCCAAATGACTCCCACAGCCCTTCAGCGCTGCACACGCAATCCCGTTTAAATGGCTGCAAACGAGCGTTGTATGGTGGAAAGTGCAACGAAGCGAGAGTGAGAGGCCTGCTGTTGTGACAGCGGCACACGTGCTCAGATACTGACCACGTCTCCCTGGGGTTGTTCAGTCTCCTGCTGAGTGGATACTTGTAGGACTGAGGTGAGATCACATATGCTCACGGATACAAGCCTCATGCGAAGGCAAAAGATGAGATGCAAACACCATACCCAGTGCTTTCTCGTAGGAAAAGTACAGCAGGAATGGAGAGGGTTAGTGAGGTACGCTTCAGACTGTTCTTTTAGGGTGAGGTGCTACTAGACACAAGTAGTGAAAGTAGGAGCCTTCCAGTCCAGAGAGAGAGGAGGGGAGGGGAAGAAGGAAGAGTAAGGGGAGGGGGGAGGGGGAGGGAAGCGGGAGCATGCAGTAGGTTCCCACCCAGTCGCTTGTATTTACTACGTACTCGGTCACTGAGATGTGCCTCTGGCACTGGGTTGAAGCTTAAGGTATACAGAAGCTCGGGAGAATGGGAACAGAATGCAGGTCGTAAGGGAAGAAGTTCACTGTACATACAGGCAGCGTGGCCTGGGAGCATGTATTAAAGTTAGAGCACTTCCTGGCATGCGCAAGGCTTTGGGTTCCTTCTCCAGCACTGCATCACTGCTCCCCATACACAAAGCCAAGAAACCTGAACAGCAGCGAAGCCCTGCAAGGAGGAAGGTGCTGATGGGAGCAGCTTTGTAAGACTGGAGGTATTGTCGTCGTTGCTGGGGAAGACACAGTACTACCCCAAATTCCCTTCCCCTTAGGGTCCTCTGCTCAGGTAAAGCAGGATTCTTGACTACATTGAAAGATTTCAAGAGCGGCTGGAGTAAGGCAAAATTTGGGAGCTCATTAAGAGAGTACACACTTCAGACTTAAATACAGACATTAGAAACATGCACACATTTAGGTGTCTAAAATGGCCATGTTTGTGATTCTGTGGGTTTCTAAATTTTTTTTGCCCCCCCCCCCCAAAAAAAAACCAATTCAAAGGGTATCAGGGGCAGGGGGAGCATCACAATCACAGAAAAGAAACCCGACTCAAGAGAAGGCAAGACCAGAATTTGAGAATTCTTTGGTAAAATGTATATGAGTGTTATGCTTGCATGTATGTCTATGCACCATTTTTGTGCCTAGACACCCAGGTTGTTGACAAGAGGGTCTTAGATCCTGCCTAAGGTCTTAGATCCCCTGGAACTGGAGTTATGGATGGTTGTAAGCCACCATGGAGGTGCTGGGAGTCGAACTCATATATCTGCAAGAAAAAGTGTCCTTACCACTGAGCCATTTCTCCAGTCTGAGAATTCTTAACCTTAGTTTCCTGCTTTGTGTGAGTCAGTGACCTGGGTGATGCCAA